CTCTAGTCAGTGAATCTATGAACATAGCCACTGTTTCCTTATCCGTCAACAGAGGCTCTATCTGGGCGGCCATTTCCCTCCACCTTTGGGCGTACGCTTTGAAGGATTCATCGTTCTTTTTGCTTAGGGTCCTGAGATCTGACCTGTCAGGGGTCAGATCAATATTGTATCGATAACGATGAAGAAAAGCGTCAGCCAACTGTTTCCAGTTTTGGACCTGCCCTCTCTCCAACTGCATGTACCAATTGAGAGCTGTGTCGGCCAGACTCTCCTAGAAGCAGTGGATCAGGAGTTTTTCATTTTCAGCGTGTGTGGCCATCTTACGACAATACATTGTAAGATGGTTCTTTGGGCAGGTAAGCCCGGCGTACTTGGCGAAGTTCGGGATTTTGAATTTGGGAGGGAAATGGATGTTCTTCACCAGGCACATGTCCGCCACCTCCTTGACATCAAAGTTGTGCCCCTCCACCGCCTTCAGTCTTTCCTCCAGGGCGAAGATTTGTTGTTTGGACACCTCCGGGGTGAGGATGCGCACAGTCCGAGCATCGGACTGGAGATGCGCTTTTTGATCGTAGAAGAATTCCTCTTCCTCATCCTCTTCATGGCGAGAGGCGTGTTCTGCTTGGCCTTTGCCCTTGTTTTGACCTTGGCGCACGACCTCCATCAATTGAGCCATTTGTTCCCGGAGGGCATTAACCTCTGCAGTGAGCTTACGATTTTTTTCTTCTAGATTTTCCATAGCTCTTGCTTTTTGCGCACGGGTTCGGATGGGGAGAGGACTAGCCACTTTCTAGAATGCCCGAAAGAAGTTTATTAATGCATGTTGAGTGTAGGACTAATATGGATGTGTTTATGTATGAGAGATTCTGTTTGAATGATGCCAAATGTGGTCTCTCCTTTTATTTTCTTCTCCACTCATGATATGATGTGATATGAATGATTTGACTTTGTCAAAGATCATCTTATTTATTTTAGATTTTTTAGGTCTTTATTTGGTTTTATTTTTTATTTATAACCATTTATCTCTTCTGTCGGATTGCGTGGCTACTTAGCTTGAAAATAACCTGAAGCCAGGCTAGCTTAAAGGCAGATTGTCCGAGATAAAAATGGCTTTATGCGAAAGAATAATGTTTAGCATCCCTTATCTCTTCTGTCGGACTGCGTGACTACTTAGCTTGCAAAGAACCTGAAACTAGGCTAGCTAAAAGGCAGACTGTCCGAGATAAGAGTGTTTTATTGCAAAAAATGTTCTTTGTGATTTTTCTGTTGTTTGGTTATGCTATGCAATCAAATGCATCAAACAAATGAGCACACAATTCAATCATCCGCGAACAGGCAAGAAGTCGTTTTAATCACGAGGTAAGGTTTTCCTACAGAAAAATACATTGACGAAGGTAGGTTCTAACTATTCTCACCAAGGCTAAGGCCCCCAAGGTGCCCCCATTATAGGGTCCCCACTCTCCAGCCTTCCGACCATGCTTAGCACTAAGGCCATAGTCAGTCTTTGTGCCAAAAGAGGAATGTTATCACATTGAGTGGTGGTTTCCGATCACACTGGTGGGCTCAAGGCCATCACTACAATGAACCGTACCTGCCACCCACTCCCTATGGATTTCTCACTTGCCCCCGGATATAGAGGGAACTGTTGTGTGCAAAGATTTATGTACAGTTTGTATTTCAAACAATTGCGTAAACATAAACAAACAACAGTTATTAAAGCCAAATATTTAAAACATGTTATAATACAAGGTGGGATAAAAGCGTAATTTCTTAGTTTATTTATTAAGCTGGCCCATCACTAAATGAAATCAACTCTCTAGGCTTCCCCAGTGGAGTCGCCATCTGTCGCCACCGTCAAAAAGAGACGGTCGGAGCGATGCGATGGTTCCGACTTTTCGTTTTTCGCATTTTTATGGGTGATGTTACAACGCTTTTAGGTTGTCCTATAACCGGGCTGAACCTGAGGGCGAGGTTTTCGAAAGGGTGTTCTTAGGTTGTCCAATAACCGGGCTAACCTAAGAACTAATTTAAAGGGGTTCTTATGGAGTCGTCACCAATGTTTTTACCGGAAACATCAAAAAAGGAAAGAAAAGGCGTTGGTTTTCGAAAAACCAACTTTGGTCGTTAAAACCAGAGTTGGGTAAGGGAGTTAGTTACGTGTAAGGGAATTGTTAGTTCCCTTTATGACGCCCCTTTCGGGTTCCTTATGATAGGCCAACTATTCTTTAAATAAACTTTTGAAAAGACGCTTTTACCCTTTTATTTGCGGAATTAAAATAATGACTACATGGTCCTAATGTCTATTATGCAATTTAATCATGAAAATAAAGACAGTAAAAGAGAGGGAGAGAATGAAGAAACCTCCGAGGCAAGCTTTTGATTAATACTCTTGAAAAATAGGGTGCGTTTTGGTAGCCCTTCGCTCTTACAACGCCGAAAACTATCTCGAAACGCTATAAAAGCTTTCTAAGACTCTCAGAAACTCCGAAAATGCTTCGGAGGGACTATAGGAAGAGAATTTGAAGAAAGTGTAGAAGGGAAAGTGGAAGAACTGTGTGAAATGAGGGGGGGGGAGCGCTCACTATTTATAGGGATTCGCACCTGTCAGGTCGAGACGGTCGTCTTGTCTGACAAGGTTGAGACGACCATCTCGTCTGACAAGGTTGAGACGACCGTCTCGCCATTCGGGACGACGGTTTCAACTTGGATAAGTGGCGAGACCGCCATCTCGTTTGGCGAGACGGCGGTATCGACTTTCCCAATGATGAGAGGGCCTTCTCGCCAAACGGGAGGGGGTCTCGCCATTGGCAAGTGGCAAGACGGCGATCCCGAAAAGCGAGACAACGGTCTCGACCCTTAAAGGCAAAAATCCTTATTTTTATATAGAAAATCCTTCCTACTCTAACATGGGGCCTAATAGTCTCTCCTAGTGGCTTTTTAGGCTTCGTCCATCTTCGAATATGAGGTTTTCTGCTCTTATTTTGAGGCCGAACAAGATTCGGGGTCTACATGTGATGCTGGGTCGGGGTTTGGTGAACCAACTGGTCGCTCCTATAGTTGAAGTATCGGGCCCCTTTTTCTTTTGTTGCCTAGGTTACACCTTCGGAATACCCCAGAAGGGAATTTTTATCTATTTCCCTCAATCTTCACTTTACGCCAGGCCTCCCAGTTCAAATACGTCATAAGGCGTGGAATTAGATTAAGGGGAATCTCCATAGGAACTAGTCCCTCAGATTTCGCATGTAGGAGATCGAGACACAACCCCATCCCAGGGCTATGAGGAAAGATGTAAATCGACCACCTCTGATAGACAACTACATAGAGGGTCTCTACAAGTCTATATATTCTTTTTTATTTCGTTCCCCCCGTAAGATCACCAATGAGGTCTTCAAGTTTCACATCTAAGTAATACTCGATCCGATAGTTTACGATATATATTTAACAACATTCTAAGCTAAGAAAGGAGATTTTTAGATATCAGTAGTTGTCTGGTCGTACCCAAATAGTAAGATTCTAGAGGAAAATGCACCTAAGATCAAATATTTCGAGCCAACTTCCATGGAAAATTCAGACTTTCTTAACATAAACTTTGAGGCTCAATAGCTAAATACATGGCAATTGAATCATGAGCCAAGATCATAAAGAGCATACTGCGAGTAGGAAGTGGAATTAATACAATGAATTCAAAAGCATCAAACCTCTCTTGTTCGGAAGAATCAAAACACATCGAAATGGTACCAGTCGTACTTAATAATAGAAGGATTTGGCAGAAATATGTAAAATTGCCCCTCCTAAAAAGATTATTCCAGAATAAATGGGCAATAGTTAGGAGAGGTGCGCCAGCGGCGAGCAGAAGCAAGGTTATTAGACACCTCAAGAAAGCCCGGCCAGAACCACACGTGCAAGTTTCCCTACATGTGGCTCGTCCGTGATAACGGATTTGCGCGAACTAGTGGACCGATCACTAAGTGGGGATGCTCCCTCCAGCATGAGTGAACCTTTTCGAAACTGGTTAGGAATGGGCGTCACTATCCCAGCCCTGATCCAACTAGGTTCTATTGATCCAGTCAGCCTGATCCAGCATGAGCGAACCTTTTCGAAACTGGTTAGAAGGGATCGCTAGACCAACAACCAGACCAACAATGCCTGTTTCAACCAAGTTTCTCCATCCTTGAGTTGAGCAAAGTAATAAAAGGTGCCTCAGCGTCTATGCTTCTCCAGGGCCTTTAAAACCTGAAGATAGTTGTCGCTCTCTCCTGGATTTTTGAATTCTCCAAGCAGATGTTGGAAGTCTTCCCTGGTGGCACCCACTTCAGCGGTCGTTCCCTTCCCCTCCAAAATGAGGCGTTGTGCGATATCTTGCCATGTAAAGTGGTCTCTTGATTGGTTTTTAGAGAAGGATTCTAGAAGAATCACACATTTATCTCTAAGATCGTTTATGGTATCATTTTGATCCTCGGTTGGAAGATCAACCTCTTCCACCCAGTTGGGAATTAGTTTTGGAGGCGAAATAGAATGGCTTTCATCTTGGGTTGGGGTGAAACAACAAGTCCAATTTTTCAAAAAATTACCTTTTTATTTATGTCCATCCTGAGCTGACTCCAGAGCTGCTCGGATCGAGCGGAAGAAGAACATAGAAAGTAAAGAGGAAAAGGCATGACCAGAAGAATTGTGTGAAATAAGTGAATTTATCCAGTTGAGGCATGATTGATTGAGAAAGAATGATTCCCTCCGGACAGAAAGAGAGTCTTTACTGCACGGAGTAGTTAGTCTAGAACTATCTAGAGATGTGGTTGGTTGTTGACCAACAGAAAGAAAGCATGGGACTAGCGGGCATTGAACCCAACGGAGTGACTTTCAAATCTTTCCGAGAAAACTTCGTTCGAATTGCATGTGTTGTGTTAAGCATATTCTAAAATAGATCTCAAGCTTGGACAGTTGGGCAAGCCGAACCCTGTACAGTAGAAGTTTCAGCTATTATTGATCCAGTTGCCACCTCTTCACCATGTTTGGATGACACCGGTTCTTTCGAAGCAGATAAGGGCATTGATGGATCGTCTCACTTGCCTGCGAACATAGCGAAAAACTATTCCAATTGAGCTGACGGTAAAGTCAGCTACGTGAAATAAAGCTTGAGCCCTACCTAAAAAAATTCCCTTGCGCTTAGGTCTGGGATCGAGCCCTTCTATCTATGGCAAATTAGGTATTAAGTCATAGATGCGCCTTTCGACTGGCATTCAGTCCTCCAACACCAACTGCTGAAATAGCAGCGCTTATACCCCCAACTGATTCAATGTCACTTGGGATCGGATCCTTCCTAAATTCATTTCCCCTCCGAAATCGATGATTCTTGGCTACTTGATTAGGCATTTCCATCTCTCAAACTAGAAAGAAAGCGCTTTAGCTTAGGGCTGATCTTCAAAGCTAAGTTCAAAGCTCCTTACTTTTTTTTATACCGCAAGTGACGAACTATAGCCATTCGCGGTCACCGCTGTCCTACTTTACTTTTTTATTAAACCTCACCCGGAAAGCGAACCCAAGGCAAATCTCGCCCCATCAAGCATTTTCACTCGAGCGGAAACAGCTGACCAAGAGACAAGAGCTACCTCACCAGACTCCATAGCTCCTAAGGCTTCTAGAGAGTCTTACTAATGGCATACTTTTTCAGTCGAATGCTCCTGGGCAGAAGATGACATAGACTATGCCTTTTTTTATTCAAAAGAGCCATCACAGCTTATGAAAGAGCAGCTTGGAAATGGCTAATTAGTTTAAGGTACTGACCCACTGAGACGGAGAGAGCCCTTTTTCAGTGTTGTCGGAATAGGACCTTTTGGTGGTTTAAAGGGCATTACATTAGGACTTTAGTAAAGAGAGTACGACTTTGGTTCCAGAGATAGCGATTCGGCTTAGTTCAAATAGAACTAAAGAGAACGGGAAAAACTTATCCCAATCCTCGCTCTGGACCAAGGTGCGTAGCCTTTTAACATTCTCTTTTTCTCTTTCTCTCTTTTCTGGCTTAGCCTACCCAGGGAAAAGGCTCCTTCTTATTGATAGCACCGGTGAGAAAGACCCCTACCTAATGGGCAAACTTAACGAATATCCCAGGAATGAGGAATGAAATAACTTCTGCTATCTACTCACTCTTGCCACTGAGAGGGGATGAGTGAATACCTGGAAGATAAAGTTATCTTATTCCCGGGATCAGGGCATCAACTGCTTAATTGAATTTATAAGTTCATACCCGATAGCAGTAGCCAATGTCGGAAGAGGAGCCGTTGGTGCTTTAGTTCCGCAGCTCTTGCCTGAGACGGAAAGTTGGCAAAGGCTTCAGACGCGGTCTCCCTTTTTTTGGGCACGCGCCAATCGGTCTTAAAGCCTCGATGTCCGCTAAAGAAGATAGAGATCGAGAGATGTGGCACTCTTCATAATGATTTAGAAAGACAAGCAATAGCTGTTTTAAAAGGCAAAGGTTGACTTTAATTAGCAGGCTCAAGGTCAATTTCTTTTTCCAAGTCAAGGCGATGCAATACTCGGGCGATAAGGAAGAAGCAGTCCCAGGCCTTAGGTCCAGACCAGATCTGAGAACTTTCGAGATGTGAATCATAGCCTACTTACTATAGTATAGTATAGTATAGTTTCGTACCCAACAGCTAAAAGTGATGTCATATTATACTTTATAGAGAATCACCCATCAGCCTTCGGATCTGAGTTTGAATTGGCTAGGGGGCATGAGCGGTAGTCAGCTGTCCTCGTTCTCCTCTTTCCTTCCGATGAAGGGATCTTGCTCGCTTTTCTCTACTCTAAAGGGCTAGTCCTGGTTCTGTTAAGGGCCTAGTTCTGGACTTGCTCGACCAAGTCTTAAAGGTTGGAAGTAGATTGTGAATGCTGGAGTTGGCGCTCAATGGAGCTCTTTCTCGCCCTCTCTATAAGAGAGATGGGATCACCTAAGTCTCGTTATGGATTGATGGCTAAAGGAGCGTCTACCCTTATTTCTATGCTCATTTTGTAGAAGAAGTCAGAATAGAAGAATTGAAGGGCTCGTTCTTCCTGGCTTCCAGGCTCCTGCCTTTCCACGAGCAAGTTGACTTAGTCTAGTCGACCAGCAGTAGAGGAAGGGAAGGGTATGGGTAAGGCAAGTGAATCAGAAGCAGTAGCAATAGGACCAAGGGCGCGCTTTAACTCAAGGGTACACTTTTCTCCTTCCAGGATTTGCAGGAGTTTACTTTCGAAGGCATTTTAAGAACCTACCCTTGATCCACTGGATATGAATGCTAATCATTGATCCGAAAGTGCCACAGTCCCCTCTCTGCTGCCTATTACCTATTCTCTTCCTTGCGTGGTATATCTTTACTAGGGGAATCAAGGCAAAAAATGGCTTTGGACAATTCATCCTTTATCCCACATTCCATTCGCAGCTGCTATTCCGACATCTGATTATAGCACCAGCTCTTCGTCTTCATAGAATAGAATAAGGCATTAGACATGGGCAAGAGCCCTTCTAGCAGCAATCCTTGATTGAAGTGAAGGAAGAAAGCCAAAAGCTCTAGTCCCATCTCTGTCTGTTATGGAATTGGATAGTTACTCATATGAAATAGCAGGGGATTCGATAACAGCCTAAGACAACAGGGTTTACGTACAGGCGCAGCCCGTATGGATGTAACTTCCATTCCGCTAGTCTGCCCCGTAGTTCAAGCGTGAAAAAAGAAGTGCCACTAACCTAACTTCTTTCGATTTCGAGCATCAGCACCGGATTCAATAGCAATAGCAAGGGATTCTAGCAGCCTTTTTTTTGTCCTACCAGCAGCCTATTCTTTCACTTTCAAAGGCAAAGCTCGCATATGAGGAGTGGAATTCCCTAGTGATAAACTTTCCTAGAGAAGAAAGAGTGCTGATGATAGACATTGCATAAGTACATACCATCCGGAATCACGAAAGCATAGTGAGAGCAAACTCCATTTAATTAAGGAAGCAAGACCTATTATGCAACTCTAAAGGTAGCTCCTGCCTCTCGGGCGAGGGACTTATTTCCTTGCTTTGCTTGCATCCCTTGTTGGAACTAAAGGCAATGAATATTGGATTCGGAAGGTCTTCCACGTCTCTATGTCATCCGGTGATCCATATGCATAGTACAAGCGCTTATCTGTGGCAATCAACGAGTGAAGCCGATTAAAGACCATGGGATAAAGGCTCTAAGTCCTTTTATCTCGCTAGATGGGGCATTAACGGTCTAAGCACTTTCCCTCTTCTAAGGTGGAGGCTTGCCCCTCTTCTCTAAGCCCGGAAATGGCGTATCGTATGCCTTTATCTCTCTTAGACTAATAGCTCTTATTCCGACAAAGGCAAAGCCCTC